TGTGAATATTCTCGACTATCAGGTGCTCTGCTTTCACTATCTCCTCGTCCGTCCCTTTAAAATAGATTTTATTTTAACAATTGATAATAAAATCAAAATCTATTCCAAACCTCTGTTATAATTATCAGCGAAATTGTTGCCTCCGATCATAAACACCAATACCTTTGGGACCAAACCATCCAACTCTTTGTGATCTATTCTCCACAACACTTGTCGAGTACTATCCCCTCCGATGCCATAATTAAAACCCCCTCTTTTCACATAGTATTCATTCCACACATCCCTTCCCTCCGTAACCCAACCCTCAGTCTTGGAGTCCCCAAAGAATACAATTTTGATATCATTTTTGTGCCCTTCAGTCGTGTTAACCATCTTTTCGTGTCTATCCCTCCAACCCGTGGGGTTCTGAGTGCCAAACCAACCCCAGGCCGGTACCCATGGCTTGTCATAAACGGGCGGCCCTTTGGTTATGTCCGGATCCGCGAGGGATACACTTATAAAGCATATAATTATTAATGGAGAATACATTTCCCCAATAATTATGAATTCCTATTATAATTATATTAAAAATAAAACTTATGGTCTTTTGATACTTATATTTATCAAAGTTATCAAAATTTTATTCTTATTTATATTGGTTTAGAAATTTGTATTTAAGTTATGCTCTGTTTTTGCAATTATCTATTGATTGTTATTTTTGACAGGTTTATGGATTCACATGAATTGAAATTCTGTTTAAATATTATATTTTTTATTGGAACTTTTTAAATGAAATCACAAATCCTATTAATATAAGATTATTAGTTAATAATTTGCTGATTTATTTGTTAAAAATATATCTATAATCCCAATGAGTTTATTGAGTAAAGATACAAATAATTTTTATCATAATATATGAACTCACTTTGGTAAACTGGTTAATCATTGTTTCATAATTGTATTGTAATAAAAATTATGATACTATTTTTTAAATGTTATTATTTATATAATATTTTAAAATTGTTATATTGTTTGCAATGTAAAGGGTATTACTGTAATTACCATAAAACATTTGGTTGAATAATATTTAACAAAAATGTAAAAATGATAATAATTTCAACTAGTTTAGATACTAAAAAAAATAAAATTGAAAAACATAAGTTTTTACTTAAACAGTAAAGTAATCATAATTTGAATACAATTAATCAATTCAAATATCTTTAATAAATGGTTCAAAATTTTTTGCTAATATTTGATATCCGTCTTCATTAAGATGAATGCCATCAGAGATAAAAAGTTTAGTATTTTGTTTGTCATCACTTGTGGTGTATTTGGCGAATATATCCAAGAAGTGCACCATTTTGTCGCTCGACTTCTTGTACTTGTCCACTAAATGATTGTTTATATATCTGGCCCTCTCATCAGTCTCTCCCTTACGGGGCAGTTGTCCCACAAGTATTATCTTAGTTTTGGGCAGTTTTTCCTTCAATTTCTCAATTATAAGATCCATTGCTTTCAGAATCTCGTCGTCGGTTCCTATGAATTAAATTCAAACAAATGAAAAGAAAATGAAATTAATTCGGTATAAGTTTCTAAAGTTTCTAAAAGTTTAATTTAGACTAATTAGTTAGTTTGCTATGAAAATAAATACCTTTATTATAATTATTCTTAAAATTATTGCCACCGATCATAAAAAATAGCAGTTTAGGTGTGAGTCCATCAAACTCTTTGTGATCCAATCTCCAGAGTATCTGTCGCGTGGAGTCCCCTCTAATGCCATAATTATAATAGCCTTCCTTCGCGTAGTACTCGTGCCATACCTTATGTCCCTCTTCGAGGAATCGGGCGATTTTGGAGTCACCGAAAAACACTATTTTGATGGCATCCCTGTGCTCTTTGGTCTGTTTTAACATATAGTCGTGTCGTTCCTTCCAAAACAAGTGGTCACTCTTGTTGAAGCCCCAGCCATCCACCCATGGCTTGTCGTAATCGGGCGGCCCTTTCGTGATGTCCGGCTCGTCACCCGA